TCTGTAAAAAGGCCAAGAGAATCTGAAGAAAACCTTAAGAAAGACTCTCCTTCTCCTAACTCTGCTCAAGAGGACTTCAAAAAACAAAAGATTGAATCTGGTAAGGTGGGGGTGGCCAGCCTAGAATGGCACCCAAGTGATCAATGCTAGTTGCGGTGTGGAACTGTAGAGGGCTGGGTGGGCCCTCTACAGTTTCCCAAATCAGAGAGACCATTAAGGCTCATCACCCATCTTTTTTCTTTATTTCAGAAACAAAAAAAAATTCTGCTTTTGTTAATACTATTTGTAAGAGGCTTGGTTGTGAAGACAGAAAGGTCATTGTTAACCCCCAAGGCCTTAGTGGTGGCCTACTTCTTTTCTGGAATTCAAATGTCATTATTCATCAGCTTATATGTCAGGACTTTTTTATTGCTGTAGAATTCCAGCTTCCTCAATCTGATAAGCAATGGGGGATTTTTGTTTATATGAGTGCCTGCAGGAACAACAGAATTTCTCAATGGGAAATCTTGGAATCTCTTAAGTCTTCTTGGGGGCCTAAATGGTTTGCAGCAGGCGATTGGAATGACATTTGTGCAAACTCAGAGAAGGTTGGTGGTATTATCAGAGGAACCTCCAGCTTTCAAGGTTTCAATTCCTTTATCAATAAAATGGAGATGGAGGAAATTCCAATGATCGGTTACCAGTATACTTGGTGCAACAATAGAAGCTCAGAAGAAGCGGTGGAAGAAAAACTGGACAGAATTTTTGGCTCTATAGAATGGATGCTTTCTTCCCCAAATGCCAAAGTTCTGAATATAGTCAAAAGCTCCCCTGATCACTCCTTATTATTACTCAACTCAGGAGATCCTAGCTGTAAAATCCCTAAAAGATTCTCCTTTGAGAAGAGATGGATTGGCATGGCAGGGTTCACAGATACAGTTCACAAAGCTTGGCAGTCCTCAGTGGAGGGTACTCCTTTCTTCATACTTAAAGAAAAAGTCAAGCTCACCAGGGTGGCCTTACTGCAATGGAGTTCATCCTTTCACTCTAAGAATCAGCTCATTATCAAATCCCTTACTCAAAAACTGGAAGAGCTGAGAGAGAACAAGGCCAACTCAAATTGGGAAGATTGGGAGAACACCAGGAGAGACCTCAATAGAGCTCACTGCTTTGAGGAGAGCTACTGGCAACAAAAATCCAAGATTAAATGGCTAAAGGATGGTGATGGGAACACCAAATTCTTTCATGCCTATGCTCAACAAAGAAGGAGAATGAATGCTATTTCTAGATTGGTTTCTGCCAGAGGTCAGGAATTTTGTACTCAACAAGAAATGGAAGATCATATCACTGATTTCTACTCCAATCTCTTTTCATCTGAAGGAACTCTGGGGGGTGATGCAATCATTCATCTCATTCCTAAAACCATCACTGAGGATATGAATCTTACTCTTCTGCTACCTGTTGAGGATGCTGAAATCAAAGACACTCTTTTCAGTTTGGAACCAGAGAAGTCTCCGGGGGAAGATGGTATGCATGCTCCTTTTTATCAACATTTCTGGGATTTAATTCAAACTGACTTCACTTCTGCTATCAAGAGTTTCTTTCACTCCAAACAAATGCTTCAGTACTGGAATCACACCATCTTATCCCTGATTCCTAAATGCTCACTACCTGAATCTCTGAGCCAATTTAGACCCATTGGGCTATGTACTGTAGTTTACAAGGTGCTCTCTAAAATCCTTGCCCAAAGACTGAAAAACTGTCTTCACTCTTGCATCAGCATTTACCAATCAGCATTCCTCAAAGAAAGACAGTTACTTGACAACGTGATCATTACACAGGAAGCTTTCCACTATCTCAACAGACTTACCTCAGGCAAACACTGTTTCATGGCAATTAAATTGGATCTAATTAAGGCCTTTGACAGGGTGGAGTGGCTTAGCCTGCAACAGATTATGATTCAAATGGGATTTCACAAGGACTTTGTGGCTCTTATTATGGTCTGTGTTTCTTCTTCTACTCTCTCAGTGAAGGTTAATGGTAGAGTTACTGGATATATTAAGCCAACCAGAGGGATCAGACAGGGGGATCCCATCTCCCCCTATCTATTCATTATCATGGCTGAACTTCTTTCTGCCCTCATTCTTGATGCTGTGAATTCTGGTCTATTGCAGGGCTTAAAACTCTCTAAAAATGGTCCTCTGCTCTCTCACTTACTTTTTGCAGACGACTCTCTTCTTTTCTGCAAGGCTGATGCTCACCAAGCTGGAGTGTTGATGAATATTCTGCATAAATACAAACTCTATACAGGCCAGGCTGTGAATCTTCTCAAATCAGCTGTTTTCTTCAGCAGAAACTCTCCTGCTCACATTAAATCCAGAGTTTGTTCAGTGATGAATGGCATCTCTTGCCACAGATCCACCAAATACTTAGGTTTACCCCTGGGGATGGGGAAATCTAAGAAAGAAATTTTTGCCTACCTGGTGGAGGCTATCAAAGGGAAACTTCAAGGCTGGAAATCTAAATTACTTTCTCCTGCGGGTAAGGAAGTTCTTCTAAAGTCTGTGATACAAGCTCTACCTATTTTTCCTATGTCTTGCTTCAGACTTCCTCAGTCAATTTGCAAGGAGATTTCTAGTCTTTGTGCTAGATTTTGGTGGAACACCAATGAGGACAACTCTAATTGCATTTTCTGGAAAAGTTGGAAAAAAATGACCCTCCCCAAGAAGAATGGAGGCATTGGTTTTATTGACATACAGTTATTCAATGTTGCTTTGATTTGTAAACAACTCTGGAGAATTTCTTCTAATCCTGAGCTTCTTGTCAGCCAAATCCTGAAAGACAGATACTTTCCTAATTCATCCATTCTTCAAGCTATCAAATCTCACAAAAGCTCTTGGTTATGGAGCTGCTGGCTTGGAGTTTTGCCTATTTTCTCTAAATGGCTCAAAACTGAAATCAGAGGAGGGGCTGAAACTCGGATTGAAGAGGATAACTGGATCCCAACCACACAAGAGCCAATCCAGTTATGTTGGATCTTGCAAGAGGCCACCTCATATTTGTTAAAGATCTTATTATGCCAGATGGAAAAGAGTGGAACCAATGGCTGGTTAACCAAGTCTTCTCAGCAGCTGATAGAAAGGCCATTCTTAGTATATCCTCCCTGAAGCCAGATACTAAAGACAAGTTATATTGGGGACTTGATAAGAAAGGTAAATTCTCAGTCTCCAGCATTTATTCTCACTTAGTGCAACAGAAAGTTCTTTCTCTTGATATGCCTGAATGCAGCACCTCTCTGATCCCTATGGCCAAAACTCTCTCTAGAAGCTGGTCTCTTAAAATCCCAGGCAAAATCAAAATTTTTATCTGGAAATGCCTCAGTGGTGCCCTGCCTACTCTGATTAATCTCAATAAGAAAGGGATTGCTATTGACTCAATCTGTAAATGCTGTGGAGAGGGACAGGAAACAGTTGAGCACCTGTTTTTAGAATGTAACAGAGCTAAAAGACTTTGGGAGATTGCTCCTGTTTCCTGGAATGGCTTGCTGCTCCAATCAGCCTCATTCAAACACTGGTGGCAACAAATCTGTTCCTTATCTCAGTCTGACACTTCCAACTTCAGAATCCAGCTCACTACTTATCTTCTTTGGTGGATGTGGAAGACTCGGAATCTTTGGATCTTTCAAAAGACACTTATGCCTATCCACATTGTGGTGAAGTCAGCTCACTTGGATTGGCTCACCTTCTGCAATGCTCTGGACTCATGATTGTTTTTTTCTTGTAGTTTTTTTGCTGTTTTTTTGATCTTTGGGATGTAGCTAGGCCTCTTGGCAGTGGTGTTGTCCTATTGATTGCTTTTGCTTGCTGTATTTGTGAGTCTCTAGGCCATTTCTTAATGTGCCTCTAAGTTTTCAGTTTGTTGTTGGGTTCTCTTGGTCTCTTGTATTGAACACTATTTTGATTTTATAGCATTCTATCGTTTCGACCAAAAAAAAAAAAAAATTAATTAGATTTTTATAAATTACAAAATTTTAATCTTAAACGGTTCCATTAGTTTTGAACGAAAAAAGTTAACGTTATGGACTAAAAATTAATTACGGACAAAACGTCGGGCAAAAATCAATTAAGTAAAAACTTCGAGTACCAAAAACGTAAAGAATGTAAAGTGAGGTACCATATAAGCTATTTTTTTCAAAATATTACTTCACTAGTACAACACCCGTGTATTGCACGGTGCTTGTTAAAAAATTATTGTTAAATTTTTAAAATTATTGAGAAAAACTATTTTAAATTTTATTTACATTTTACGAAAAAAATATATTATTTTATATTTTAAAATGACACTTGTTATTTGTGCGACTTACATGTGTTATGTCATAGTAATTTTTATAACTTATATCATATAACTACTTGAAATATAAATATATAACTGATAAATAACTTTATTTTTCAAATTAATATTAAAAGCAATTTTATTATTGTTATAAAGATAAATATATTTATTTTTCATACCTACAATATGGATGTTAAATTAAATCTCATAAAGAGATGATTAACTTGATACATTATATATATAAAACTTATAAAAATACAAAAGTTATTAACTTTTAATATACATTTATAATTCAATAGTTTTAATAAAAAATGATTTTAAAATGCAATAATACATGTAGCATGACCATAAATAATCAACATATTTATGGATAATCTAGACCTAATTATTTTAGATTGGAAGTAAATTAAAATTAACCAAGCCTAATAACAAATCTTATAATTTTGCCATATAAAATCCCGAAGCATGCGAACTTGTCACTTACGCTCAGCACGTTTTGAATTAATATATAGGAGAGATGTGCATAGACCCTCCACATACCATGCAACCTAAAGATTGCACAAATTAATGCACTCCTCGAATCAATCAACAGATGGTCTGAAGTCTGATCATTGTTAATGAACCTAATATCCTCGGAAAAACAAAACAAAAATAAAGTAGCAAAAATTTTGCCAAGATAATAATTTTGATCAGGTCGAGGTACAATACTGAGGTACGAGGCTTCTTTGCCTAACCAACTCATGAAGGTCGTGTACAATCTTAAAGACAGCATCAGGCCTGGCAAGCCGAAGTGCGTTTTCTGACATCACCATAAGCTCGTCTTGCTTAGGACCGAACCACTCAGAAACGATCCTCGCTATCTCTTTTGGGGACTTTGAAAATTTCCCGCATCCATTTTGGACAACATACGGGACATTCCCTGCTTCCTGGAAGTAATTTAAAGAAGAGATTGTCATTCCCTGATTTCATGAATCAAATAGCCTAAAAACTAAAAAACATCAATTGTCATGTGAAGCTTAGGAATTTCCGTAACTTTTGCATTGACAGAACTGAACACACTGGTGGATTTAGTTTCTTAACATGACTATCAAGCAGAAAAGGATCTCGTTTTGTTGAGTGTGGCGTTAGTGGTAGTTATATCTGTTCTTGTTGTGTCTCACGGTTAGACATATGGACCGTTAGATTGTAAGGGTGTCCTTTATTACTTTCACTTCTTTTTCTTCTTCATATAAATACCGTTTTTTCCTTCTCTTTGTGACCGTTGTATCAGAAACATTGTAACCATTTTTTCCTATCAATACAATCGAGTTTTCCATGGCTCCCTTTGGTTTCTCCTCTCTGGTTCACTAGTGAACACGTTTATTGACATAGTTCATAGTATTTGAAAATCAAGGAGCTCTTATTACCTGTCCAGCAATGTAATCATTCAGGATAATAGGGAGACCACGAATCATAGCCTCT